ATGAAGTAGATAGCCCGATTCCCAGTAAATTTCAGTTCAGAAACATCTTGACTGTAGTATCAAAATACTTTTACCTTCAAAGAAAAGACTCCTTCCTATAAAAGTTGCAGCAAAAAATGGAACAGAGAAAACTGCATAAAAACATTGCACTCCTTTACTTTAGGACTGCCTCACAATATGTTGAAACTATTTTATATCAACATAACTATTTGGCATATGGTTATGAAATTTAGTGTAAGGGTGTATGATTAGTTCCTAAAATCAAAAACCACAAATTTTTAAAATGAACTTTTAAAAAAATTGAAATTTAGGTCCATGTCCTCCCTTAAACTTTTAGTATAAACGTGGTTCGAACTTCGTCGAACTTTTTCTCAAAAGTTCGAACTTCGTCGATTTTTTAACTTCGCAGGTTTAAAAAAAAAAAAGAGCCAAATTTCTTAGCACAAAAAAAAATTAAAAATCGAACTTTACAAAATTAATTATAATGCAACACCTCAGGCTGTGATGCAGAAAAATTAAGAAGGCTTTGAAAGTTTCTTCATTTTCCAACACCACAGTCTCAAGTGGTACATCACGCTTAATTATCACCCGCCCGCCTGCACACTCACCTTTGTTTCGTTAGCAAATTGTCAATTTCTTTAAAAAAAACTTTATAAGGTCGCAGGTCTGAAACGCATCATACCTTTTGAACTACTTGGTTCGATCTTTGGACCTCAAGTTCGATAAAAAGTTCGCGGCATCTCTATTCATTACCAGTTGGGTCGCTGGATTAGCTGGATCGGGTTGATTGTTGCAAGGGGTGCCGCGAACGTTTGTTGAGCTTGCTTGCTGTTCGATGTCGAACCTTGAGGTTTAACTTGTTCTCCGAACGTTTGTACGTGTTTCGAAAATACGAGAAAAAAGTTCCACTCTAAAACAGTATTGTCCGATTTTTACACCAACAAATTCGAATTAAAAAAGCAACAAAGAAATTTGAAACAGCAGGTGATTTCAAATATGAGAAAGTGATTATCGATGTTTTCGCAATATAATAAAAGCAAACATATAGCCTTTTAATGATTTAGTTAGTTTCTTAACTGTCATGTGGTGTCAGCTTATTCTCAAGGGGGGGGGGGGGGGGGGGGGGTTTCACGCGCGATGGCTTCAGAAATAGTCTTCCTTCTTCCAGTCGCATCACAGAAAGTTTTAGCTACGTTTTTGATACATGTGCGCGCAAATAGCAAAAACGCCGGCACCAAATATGAAATTCCATGTTGCCAGTGTTGTTAGTTGCTCTTTCAGTCGAAACCAAACCAAACCAAGACAAACAAACAAAAAAGCACCCGCAGCGCAGTAACTGTGCTCAGTGGATGGCAACGGGCGCTATGATAAAGAGGCGCATTTGGATAGATTTTTCCGTCAACTCTAGCTTGAAGGTCACTAGGGGCGATAGCAACATTGACTCGCGTCTTTCTCGTGGCGGCCAGCACGTTGAGCCTTATAAGTTGAAGACTACGCATTAGTTGAAGTTGAAGACTACGCGATTGTCGCCTTGAAAAGGCGACAATCCCGGAGAAAGCGGCTGGGGTTTCTGGAGAGAAAACCCAGGAGGTAACCAGGTGATCCTCCAGAGTACGCCACTCCAAAGAAGACGTGGAGAGTTGAGAGGCACTTTGACCTTCGATGTGTTTTATTTTTCTTAAATAAAAACTAGCGCGCGCAAGAAAATACGCTTTTCTCTTCTTCGTTCTATAGGTGACACATATTACTCTCGCAGTTAATTGGGCAAAGTCCTAAGATCGTTGCACCGCCCCTTTAATCACCTTAGCGTACAGCATATATATATATATATATATATATATATATATATATATATATAGAACTCCACACACAGTCAATAACCAGCTTATTGGAATCTATTCTCCTTAGTCGAAACGGGTAAATTTGAACCGGGTTAATGTTCATACCTTTGCTTTCTTTGTTCATTTGCCTCCTAATTACTAGTTAATTTATATATTCCGTTGGTGCTTTCTTGTATGGTCTTTCTTGGTATGGTGCCTTTTTTTAAATTTATTTTAATATTGTGCGAGTGCTTTCTGTATAGAGTATATTCTATATTTGTATTTTTGGTTATATATCAATATCTACTATTTATTTGCGATGATTCCTGCTGCTATCTTGGGGGCTTGGTACTTGTAAAGTTGTTCCTTAACAGCTTTTTTCCAATTTATCCAACAACAATCTAATACCTTTGTTGGAAAATAAAGGATATGCCTATTATTATTATTAGTATACCTGCCCTGCAAGCTGTTGTTCCGTGTTGGTTTGATCGTGTACCTAACCGTAGCTGTCTGTATCCATGCAGTCAGCTTGCTGGCTGAGCTTGGCTCACCAGCCTCTTTCGGCGTGCCCTTGAAAGGGAATCTGTCCTTTATTGAATCTTCCGCCCCTGTTAATTCCTTTGCTTGCGTTTTTTGTGTGCAGGCGTGCGTTGCTCGCTTGCTTAATTTTCGAGCGTCCGACTCTGCGATTCCGCGATAAACGCGACGGAAGTTCAGATCGACCGGGCGGAAATTTATTACGAGTACGATCACGGGGCGGGATGACGTCTTCAGCGCGCGAACAGTAGCGGTGGCCTCCGGCGCTGTCCGCCAGCGCAACCCTTTCGGGCGACCGGAATCGATGCGCGTGGGAGGGCGGAATGAATGGAGCTCCCGTCGCGGTATGTGCTTGGCTGCTGTAACGACGGCGGACGCCGTCACTGGTGCTACTTAGTTGTTTGGACCGCGGTTGATTTTATCTCCTTGCCTCGCGACACAACATTACGCGGCGCGAGTGTGGTGCCGCTGCCTTCTCGTATCGCCATTACTGTTTTTTTTCCTTGACTCGGTTCTCGCTCTTCAAAACCGGCTCAGGCAGATACGGTCTGATGACTGTGTAACGACATTGCTCCCCTCCCCCCTCCCCCAGACACACATAGTTTCTGTTGACTTCGTCGCGAAGTTTCTTTTGCCTGTTATTTTCGTTACTTTATTCTGGACAGGAAAGACTCAAATGCTGCCTGTACCTGCCAGTACGCTTACCCTTATATAGATGATATAACCCGCTACATATGCGGACTACTTCTTTCCTCGTTCAACTTTAGTGACCTAATTTACCTTCGGATGTGTGGAACCATCTAGCTGGTTGCAGACGCGTTATATCAACGTCCATCCGAAATAAACCGAGAAGGTACTTGTAACAGTCTTGATACTAGCGCCACCGCCACACTGAGTGAGAGACGACAATAAAGACGAAGCACTTGCTTCCCACCCGCTGAACCGGATGCCTCGCTGACTGATACATGGTGTCAGAAGTCGTTCGAACGTCATCACAAGCCCTGCGGTAGCCTCAGCCATGGAAGGACTGAAACCGCCAGAGCCGCTCCAGTTCTCAGGCAACGTTGCTGAGAACTGGAGGCGTTTCAAGCAACGGTTCGAAATATTCATGACAGCTACGGAGCCACCCGCCAAAAGGAAGGAGGGACAGAAGATCGCGTTGTTGCTGCATGTTGCCGGGGAGCAGGCCGTGGAAGTCTACGACACCTTCAACGTCGAAGGGGAGCAAACATACGAGGCCGTGGTGGAAATGTTTCATAACTACTGTTCTCCCAAGAAGAATGAAACGTACGAGCGTTACGTATTCAGGATGCGAGAGCAGGCAGAAGGTGAGCTGTTTGAGCAATTCTACAGAGACCTTTTGTTGAAGGCTAAGACCTGCGAATTTGGCAGTTTGGCAGACTCGATGATCAGAGATCAGATAGTGTATGGTATATCGAACAAGAAACTACGTCAAAGACTGTTGCGAGAGCAGGACTTATCGCTTACCAGAGCAGTAGACATGTGTAAAGCGAACGAAATAGCAGAAAAACAAAACAAAGTTTGGGACAAGCCAGAAGAGTCCGTTCTCAGTATTCACCAGACAACTAAAAGACGTTCGACGGTGCCAGTGGAAGCACCACCTAGACCTGACCGCTGTCAGAAGTTTAACTTCATTCACAAAGGAACAGGCTGTCCAGCAACAGGAAAAGAATGCAGGAGATGCCATCGCCGAGGTCATTTCGCGTTTTGCTGTCCGAAGCAACGGGTGAACGCGATAACTAACGAAAACGACGATCAAGCCGCGGATGCCGGGAGTGACTTTGAAATTCTGGAGGTGGGAGCACGCACTTCTGCAAGTAATCAAGCAGAGTGGCTGATACCGGCGAAGGTAGCTGATAAGGATATCATGCTGAAGATTGATACTGGAGCCCAAGCAAACTTGTTGCCACTGTCGGGGTGGAAACCAGTGGCCTACGCTTCAAGAGTCTTGTCTAGTGCGGAAACACGCTATTCGCAAATTGAAAAAGAGGCTCTTGGAGTCACTTATGGTCTTGAAAAATTCCACCACTTTGTGTACGGACGGCGAGTTATAGCGGAAACTGACCATAAGCCTCTGATTGCGATCGCACAAAAAAGTGTAGGAGATATGCCACCGCGCTTGCAGCGTTTCTTCTTGAGGCTCATGAAGTATGAGTTCCAGCTGACGTACGTCCCTGGCAGAGAGTTGGTGGTTCCAGACGTCCTTTCGAGAGCACTTCCTTCTGGGCAGCCAAGCGGCACAGAACTAACCGATGTTGAGGTGCATGCATTGGAGCTTCAGCACACACTCGTAAGCGAAGCAACTAAGATTCAGCTCGTGCGTGAAACTGCTCGGGACACTGTCCTCACGAACGTAATTAACTGTCTCCGAGCAAACCTCCCTATTCATGGACAGTACAAACCTTTCGCCGGGGAATTAACAGAAGTATCTGGAGTTTTGTTTAAGGGCGTAAAGGTGGTCATCCCAGAGACCATGCGCCAGCGAATACTCGAGAGGATACACGATGGCCATCTTGGTATCAATAAGTGTAAAGCACGAGCAAGACAGCTAGTTTTCTGGCCCGGCATTAACGAAGATATCACGAGAATGATTCACCGTTGCTCAATCTGTCAACAGTTTGCGTACAAGCAACCGAACGAGCCACTAATGATGCGTGAGGTTCCGGGCTTACCATGGACGCGTGTTGGTGTTGACCTCTTTGAGCAGGCGGGGAACACGTACCTAGTTGCCTATGATGCCTTTTCCAACTTCCCAGAGGTAGAGAGGCTCAGAGAGGCAACATCAGAAACTGTTATTTGGACATTAAGCAGCATGTTTGCTAGACACGGAATACCTCTAGAGGTGTGCAGCGACAACGGTCCACAGTTCTCGTCACGTCAGTTCCAGAGTTTCGCTTTGAAGTATGATTTTAAGCACACCACGTCCAGTCCGCATTTTCCACGTTCCAACGGACTTGCAGAAAAGGGTGTGCAAGTTGTAAAACGAATACTGCGGAAAACTGCTGAAGCTAATGAAGACTTTTGGCTGGGATTGCTTGGTTACAGGTCTACACCCCTGGAGGATGGCCGGTGCCCCAGCGAGCTTCTAATGGGACGCCGCATTAGGTCCCGTCTTCCTGACTTCACGCCAGCAGTTCCAAAACCAGCCAGAAAACACACACAGGATAACACTAAAGGATGTTTTTTGAAGCCACTACGGGAAGGTGACGTGGTACGTCTGAGGGACAAAGGACAGTGGGTCACAAAGGGCCAAGTGTTAAGGAACGTGGCGCCTCGTTCTTCACTGGTTGTCACGCAGGATGGCCGGGAATATCGACGCAACAGAGAACACCTGCGACCAACGAATGAAGACCTGCAGAGTTCCGATCACTTTGAGGAGCACCTGGAAGATTCCCCAGCCTGTGCCCTGACCAGCATTCAAGCTACACCGGCTGCATTGACCCCAACAGTGCAGCATGATGATCCAGCCATCCCAACCACAGTCGCTACTTCAACGAGAACTCCGACCAACTCCCCAGCTGCAGTCAACTCCGCAGCGAGAACAGAGGATGATCTGGCTAGTGAACTTAGACCATGTGTTGCTCGGACATCAACCCGAACTGTGCGGCGACCCCAAAGGCTAAACTACGATCAGAACTTCCAGCAGCAAGCTTAACGGGCTTTTGAGTTATTGCTTTTTATATTTCGTGTTTTGTGTATTTTGTTTAATTTCGTATGTATTTCTTGTTGGTTTTTCATAGTCCAAAGAAAGGGAGATGTAACAGTCTTGATACTAGCGCCACCGCCACACTGAGTGAGAGACGACAATAAAGACGAAGCACTTGCTTCCCACCCGCTGAACCGGATGCCTCGCTGACTGATACAGTACTGTTCCAGTATGCTCTTGTAATAACGCCAATTTTTAGTTTTTTTTTTTTTTTGTCTGCTTTTGAGATATTGGCGATCTCTTGCTGGTACTATCTTCAAATATAAGTTAAAGGGGCGATGCAATAATTTTTTTTTTCACTTTCAGAAAAATACCGCTTTGAATTATTACCTGTTATTCCAACGAAACACACCTTAGTTTCTCCACGCACTGACAGTCGCAGAAAAGATTTAAGAAAAACGAAGAGCGTTCACACCGTCAACACGCACCCAGAACAAGCGGCCAAGTAATCTGGAACCGATTATGCCGCCAATGTTTCTCAGAGCCAGATATCACACGCTGAGTTCCAAACACTAGGGAGTTTTACAAGAGGGGGCCCCAACGTTAGGGGAGCCATAGGGGGACACGAGCGCAGCGATACTCACGCCGCCGGCTTAGAGAATCCAGATAAATAGCGTGACATGCTCGCGTTTCTCGCTTGGAGCGACAAGCGCAATTAATTAACCGAAAACCATGATAATACGTAACTCGCGCTTAAAAAAACACTTCGTGTTGCTGGTGTCACAAATATTGGGTAAGGTAAAACCAAATCTACCCGTTTTGTTTTAAAAATCATTAGATATTTGGATGTTTGAAGTCAAGACCAAATCAATAGAATTTATTTAATTAGATTCGTGATGTAGGCGAGTTGGTTCATGGTAACCGGAAATAAACAGCGCGCAAAAAAAAGAACACAGACGAGAACAAGAGTGAAGATGCGAACGACACAAGCGCTGGACTCACAACTAAACATTTATTGAAAAAACACCAACGAAGTAGACCGCACTATCGCTTCTGCACGTGTCAAGATGAGCAATTTCATTTTTTTTTTTTTTTTTGTAGGAAAACCTATGTTTGGTTGACACATGCATCTTGCCCTTCTTTAGTTATTGCATACGCTTCCTATAATTCTCCGGTGGTTTTATCTGCGCCCCTCGCGATGATGGTGATGTGTTTGAATTTGGGCTGGTATTCACAAGCAGGACAATGCAGAGGCAAGTGACCCCCAGCAGTCCACCGCAGTGACCAGTCATGCTCACGAGCCCTGTCATCACAGGGGCGGTGCAACGATTTTCAGACTTTGGCCAATTAACTGCGGAAATTAATTTGTGTCACCCATAAAACGAAAAACAGAAAACCGTATTTTCTTGCGAGCGCTAGTTTTTATGTAAAAAATGAAGCGAATCGAAGGTCCAAGTGCCCCTCAACTCTCCACGTCGCCTTTCGATTGACGTACTCTGAGGGATCACGTGGTTTCCCCTGGGGTTCTCTCTTCAGAGACACCAACCGCTTCCTCCGCGATTATCGACTTTAAAGGATTAGCATCGTCGAAGGTCGCGGTGACCGATCGATACAAAAGACGGTTGGCCACGGGGAGGGGGGGGGGGGGGGGGAGGGGGGAGGGGGAGGGGACGGCGAGTGTAGCAGCGGAGGGGGGCAGGTTTTGTTCACTTCCGCGTAACCGCCAGAGTACGTCACACATCACTTCCGTCAACCACCACACGCGGCTGCGGATTGGCAAATATTTAGTTTTCTGATTTGCGATTCCGCACCGGAATAACAGTTTCTCGGGGCAATGTGACGCGTTTTTGGTCACTTGTGCTTAGGTAAAGAGTATAAAAAATACAAACTGCCAATTCTTTCAACACTAAAATCGTTGCACTACGCCTATAATACATCGACCAGTTTGGCCGATGTACACTCTTGCGCAGCTTAGTGAGATCTCACTACCACACAATCAACGTACTTGTTCTTGCGCTTTACGGCACATTGTCTCTTACCCCCAGCCTTTTCTACAGTTCTAGGGCAGAGTATCGCCAACTTTCGAGGGGCCGAAAACACAATGGGAACGTCAAACCGCCCGGCAAAACTAGCAGTGGCGGAATGCGATGATAATCTAATCATCCGCGTTTTGCCACTGCTAGCTTTGCGCCTGCTGCACGGTTCTGAGTCAGAACATCCAGCGCGTCAAAACATGGATCAAGTCAAAGCATTCATTCGTGGATGTTTTGACTCGTTGGACGTTTTAACGCGATGTTCTGACTCGGATGGATGTTCTGACTCGCTCGACGTTTTGACGCGTTTGATGTTCTGACTCGGATACATGTTTTGACTCATTGGACGTTTTGACGCGTTGGATGTTCTGGCTCCGACGGTTGTTCCGACTCGTTGAACGTTTTGACGCGATCCAGGTTCCGATTCAGATACATAAAGTTCTTTGTGGGGTGTTATATCTATTTTACCTGAAATGGTTATTCTTTTGCATAACCGACTTTTAAAAATATGGTAAGCGAAGGCCATTAGTTCCTTGATAAACTTATATAACTGACGAAGAGGTGAACATCGTTTTCACATTTTCGGGAAATAGAAGTCAAGCGCAGAGAATAACTGGAATATGTCTACTTTCTGTTTTGTCATTTCTTAGTGTACAGTACTCTGGTTAGTGACGCTGTACACCCTGTCACTGTCGAATCTTATCAGAGCTCGCGAAAACCGCTTCTAGTGTTCCGCTCTGTATTCAACCCAGGAGGAACGGGCATGCGGCTCCATAATGCGGTGAGCGGATTGCATGTTTGAAAACGATATAACGAAACTTACTGCGTGTAAAACATTCTTTAGCATGCGGGTATGCGAATAGTATGTTCCAAGAAGGTTTAAAAAGAATATAGGGTTTTAAATATATGGGGGAAGGAATTTCAGCAATTTATGTGAGCTGAACGCCAAATTAAGAATAAAAAAAATCGAAATGTGTATATTTTCCTTCACCGGTTCGAGCATAGTACATGTCACATGCGAAGGACCAGCAAAGCGGGCGATGGGCTCTGAGTAGTGTCCGTGATAGCACGAGATAAGACGCCAAAAGCCAAAAAAGTCAAATTTGGGGGTTTTACGTGCCAAACCTACGACGGGCATCTGGCATGCCTCGGCGGAGGACTGAGGATTAATTTCGACCACTTGGGGATCTTTCGACGTGCTACCGAAAGCTCGGTTACACGGCGCCTTCTCCGCAATAAGCCTCCGTCATATTGCGGGCACCTCGGTCGGGATTCGAACCCGCCTCCTGGGGATCCGTAGGCCAGAGCTCGCGCCTCGGAGTCACCGAGGCAGCGACGCCAAAAGCGGAGCAGACATGGAGAACGGCGAAAATCATCAGCTCGGGAGCGGGCTCTATAGTGCCTCTAATTATGTCGCAACTAAATCCGAGCAAATGGTCTGGAATCGTGCAGCAGTAGCGTATGCTCGGAAAGCCAAAGCAGTGGCTCAACGAGAGTCAGATGCTAGATAAGCGGGCGCACGGAAGGCCGAAAACATTTTATGCTCCAGGTCATATTTGGGGACCGATGAAGTGCTGCATTGCATGTTTAGGCGCATATGGCCAGTCCTGGTTCATCACACTGCACTCCCTTCGCCCCGAAGCTGACAGTGCAGAATAAACTGCACGCTCGTTGGACCTGTCAGCGTCACACCACGTGATCGCTCCTATCTACGTATATGCTAACGCTCGGAGAGTCATGCCAAGCTAGAAGAAGCATGCCATTGGTTGCACTTCCGAAAAGATGGCTTCCACAGCGCTTCCACCGCGCTGTATACTTCAAGGTGTTAGCGGAGTATAGTTTGTGCCCGACTTTCACTCCGAGATGCGATGCTAAGTATTTTACGAAAGTTTGCTGAGTAAAACGCCATCGATGGGGTCAATGGGGCGTCCCGCGATGACTAGCTGGGGATCGCTCTGTCCGAGGCATTCAAAACGGTTTGTTGTGTGCACAAGCACACATCAATAAAAATTACTGATTTTCAGGCAAGCCGGCTCACGTGTTATACCCGTTATCACCCCAAGAACCGTAGTAAAAAGAGGCCGGCTTCTCGGGGAGTATTACTAATTTTCCTCTTTATGTAGAGATTTCAGATATATATATAGGTGCATTTTAGATCAGATATGTGTTATCTAATCAAGACGCATACGTTTCAAATGCCAAAAGCATCGCTTCTTCCTCCGACAACCAAATCTTTTAAGAAGTACTTCGCCCGGGGCGAAGTAGTTCTTATAACAATGCGCAAAACATCTTTTTTTCTTGAGGTGAAAAAGAGTATAGTCAGTTCGTTCTATGGAAGCACTTTAATGATTGAAATCATGTCAACGTAGTTAAGCACGTCTTAAAATGTCGGAACTGCAGTCGCCAAGTAGCACGAAAACATAGCCATCTCCTCCTGCAGCCGCTTGTTACATCTGGTCAATTGAACCGCCGGTGCAGACGCCACCACGAGGGGATCCAAGAGCAGTGCCTGGATCCTGTTTTGCGAGGAATGCTGGATAACTTGGAGGAACTGTATGAATTCAGCCAAGTCTGGATGATGACTTGTCAGCCGGCTGTGCAGTCCGTTATGACTCCCTTCAACCATGTTGGTGGCGCGTGGTCCATCACTCTCAAACTGGCTCCAGATGTCTTTGAGGATGGTGTTAGAAAGCCAGAAGCTGTCAAAATACTTGGCAAATTGCCCAAAGTGCAAGCGCTATCTTATAAGTTATTTATTTAATTGGTTATTTGTGCCTCAAAACGACCGAAGTATTTGTGTGTACAAGGCGCTTAAGTACAAAAATAAAAGCATGCGCACAATTCATAACACCATGCATACATCCACAAATACAACCTTAAAGAGAAAGGTTAAAAACGATATGATAGTTATATGTATACAAGAGTGACTCCTTAACAAAAATATTATATTTATCTTCCAACTTTTGAAGGTCCCCGGCTTTCAAGCTACCGTATGGATGTTCTGACTCGATGGACGTTTCGACTTTATGGATGTTTCGACTCGGATGGATGTTTGACGCGTTGGATGTCTGACTTTTGTGTCATGTGACCTAATGGCTTTTTTGACTCGTTGGAT